CAACAGCTTCTACCCCCAAGCCATAAGACTCCTGAACAGCTAATCATGGCTACCCGGACTATTTGCACTGCCCCCCCACCCCATCCTTTTTACGCTGCTCTTTTTACGCTACTCTGTTAATTATTTATGCATAGTCACTTTAACTCTACCCACATGTACATATTACCTCAATTACCTCAACTAGCCGGTGCCCCCGCACATTGACTCTGCAACGGTACCCCCCTGTATATATAGCCTCCCTACTGTCACTTTATTTTACTTCTGCTCTTTTTTTTTCTCAACACTTTTTTTGTTGTTGTTTTTATTTTTACTTTTTTGTTAAAAATAAATGCACTGTTGTTTAAGGGCTGTAAGTAAGCATTTCACTGTAATGTCTGCACCTGTTGTATTCGCCGCATGTGACCAATAAAATTTGATTTGATTTGACTGTATTTCTGATCAATTTGATATTATTTTAATGGATTTTTTTTTGCTTTTCTTTCAAAAACAAGGAAATGTCTAAGTGACCCCAAACTTTTGAATGGTAGTGTATGTATGTGTGTGTGTGTGTGTGTGTGTGTGTGTGTGTAGTACTCTGCAGTCTTGGCACAACTAGTGGGCAATGACCTGTCATAATGAAAGTGAGTCACTGGGTTTTCCCACTCCTCTATAATTGTCACTGCCCCTAGTACAGATCTAGTATGACCTTCCCCTCCCCCTATTCTAACCTTAACCATTACTGGGCAAAATGCAATACTGACCCAAGATCAACATCTAGGGGCAACTTCACCTTAAACCATAATTGTCATCTCAGAGCTGTGGTGGCAGTAACGTTAGGACTTGATGTGTCAGCCAGGGTGACAGATACCGCAGAAACATTTCTACCACCTCACACATTCGACAGATGTACTGATAAAGCAGAGAGAATAGCATAGAACCCATAGTGAAGATCTGCAACAAAAATATTGATTGAAAATAAAATGAGAGGTGAGAAAGATAGGGGAGAATTGAGAATCCAAGCTGAGATATTAGTATGCCCCTCAAGCACAACACACTTGCACACATGCCAGCCCTATAGGTAGGCACCAGTGGCGGTCGGTGCCATTTAAGATGAGGGAGGAAAATAATTTTTTTCATGAGCATGGTCTTATTTCTATTACAGCATATTGGATGACTGTCATTCATATTCCTTTCACCCAGCTCAATGTAACATCGATAGGTTTAGGCTACTACATAACACTCTAATTTTCCCTATACCCATCATGAGGTTGCTACAACCTAGCCTACGAATGAAAGTTTACAACATAGGTGCATAGGTCGAGAGAAAGATTGGAGTAATCAAGGTGACAGACAGTGACACATTCAATACCGCCTTGCACACTCTTGCCTGCATCTAGCTGATATAGGATGTAATCATTAGTCCAACAGTTGCAAACAAGAATGTTTATCCCCGTTTTGTTCCGTCTGCTTCTGCTTAAGAAACGTTTTTAAACAGAATCAGCGGAATGATTACAGCCCTGATCACCCGTAAACACAGTTCACGTTCGTAGCAGTCACATACAAACAGCATGATCACTTTGCTCATTGTATATTCCTTCTCGGATCTACACGCTCCCATCCTTTCACCTTTTCCCTTCGCTTGTGGACTGTGACCAGGCAAAAAATCATTTCCAAGCCAAACCTTCATGCCATAACCGCTATCCGCTACACACAGCCTACATTGTTGTCTCCATATCCGCTAACGTCATAGTCAACATAGCTACTATAACTAACTCATTAGCAAACAATCATGCAGTCATGCAGTACAGCAAGCACTTTAGCAGTTACACCGGCGGGCCCCGTTGGCAATAATTTTATAAAACCAAAAGCTTACCTTAACTTGGAAGAGTTCCAGTGTTGGATAGCCATGGCCAGCTAGCTAACATAGCATCCCTCTCTGTTTGAGCCAGGTGTTTGATTAGGCTAAACTAGCTAGCTGCATTCGCTAGCTAAGTAAATGAAAGTGAAAAGAATACAACAAAATATAGCTCTCTCTCTCTTGCGTCGCCTTCATTTTTAAATAAATAAATTTGTTCAAAACTGTTCAGCTATTGATATTCTCTCTCTTTGAGTCAACTACTCACCACATTTTATGCACTGCAGTGCTAGCTAGCTGTAGCTCATGCTTTCAGTACAAGATTAATTCTCTGATCCTTTGATTGGGTGGACAACATGTCAGTTCATGCTGCAAGAGCTCTGATAGGTTGGAGGACGTCCTCCGGAAGTTGTCATAATAATTACTGTGTAAGTCTATGGAAGTGGTGAGAACCATGAGCCTCCTAGGTTTGTATTGAAGTCAATGTACCCAGAGGAGAACTGAAACTAGCTGTACTCCGGCTACACCATTGTGCTACCCCAGAGAGTGCTGTTGTGGCTACTGTAGACATTCATTGCAAAACAGTGTGTTTTAATCAATTGTTTGGTGACATATGAATATATTTAGTATAGTTTTATCTAGAAATTATAACTTTTTAAATATTTCACTATTTTTATTTTTGGTCCTACCCTTCCTCCTCTGAGGAGCCTCCACTGGTAGGTACTACACACACACCTGCCAGAGCCAATTCATCTTAATTAAATGCCAATCCAGCCAACATTTGTGAATGGGTGGGGTAAAATAGGCTATGTTGTCTCACCCCATCCTCCCCTTTTGCACCGCTGTTTTTTCTTTACACACAACTGGGCTGATGTTACTACGTCTTCAGAATCCTCTGCTCGAGGCAGGAGGGCATTTCCCGCGGAAAGCCAAGGACTAGGCTACAACCAGGTCCGTTATTTATTTATTTCCACGAGGCAGCATGGAAAATACCGAAAACCACTAGAGAATACGCGGCTGCTTCGATTTGTAGCAGCACATCTCGATACATTTAAAACGTTGAGGTGAGCAACGTTAAGGATACGCATTCACAAACCATGACCCATATCCTCCTCAAATGCAACATTGTAGCCCATTTAAGGAAATCCTTTACATGAATGCAAACATTGTCTCTCGCAGCATCAAGACAAACTCCCCTTCACCGCAAACATGCAGGAACATCACAGTTTATCACAATTCAAATTTACCAGCTGTGTTCATTCAACCCAAATCGCGTCAACCCAATTCTGAATGTCAGGATCAGGGCGCAATGGTGCGGTTCGCATCTCCAACAATCAATTCACACTCAATGGGTGGCTCTAGGCTATCTAGCGTCATTGTAGGGTACGGGGGAAACGGTGAGGGGGAAAACCTACACATTGAGCTCTACAATATAGGCCTACTCAGCATTACTGAAGAAGGTGCAGTGGTAACCTTTGTTTTTCCCCATTGACTCACCGTCACTGCCGAATGCCTGACAGCATTGGATGCCGTCTGCCTTATCTCCGCCGCACTCCCGGGCTTGAGCAGGTTCTTCGTGAATCTCCGGGTCGATTCCGCTGCCATTTCAGAACGGTCAACACTATTCCTCTGGTTCAAGCGCCGCCGTTCGCCCAGATTTACAACGCGTTTGTCTATTGTAAATCCAACGCATACGCCAGCGACGGCTCTGCTCCCCTCCTTGTCTCGTTGCTGCGCCTACTAGGCTACTAGTACTACACAGCAGCCCTGCTTGCGTAGGCTACAGATGCCTATTCAGCGAGATTCTACCAATACCCGTGCGCTACAGAGTCAAAGGAAGCGGAACTAATGGCATATCTCCTCCAAGGCAAGCCCAACGAGACCACATGCGGCCAACCCTGGTCTGCAAGAAGCCTTTGAAATATTAACGTTTTAGTCATTTAACATTGGCTGGACTTTCCCAAACATAGTACGCCCAAACCCCACTATTGATGAGGATTATCTGTTGCTGCATGCAAGTCTTCGAAATGTTCAAATTGGTCATAAAACAACATTCTAAAGGCCTGCAATAACAGTGAACATTATGTCCATAATTTGGCCTCTGCCACAGGCCTAGACCAGGCCAAGGAGAGAAATCTAAGAGAATAACCTCCAGAATGTCATTAACTCATCAGCAGTCCACTCAGGACCATGGTTGGAGGGGAGGGTGGGAAAATGGTCACACAGCGACCTATTGTGGTGGAATAGGCTAGTGCTAGTCAGTCATTAATGGTCGTTTGTTTTCTATAGGCAGCATTATCATAATATGCTACACACCGCCTGTGGCATGGTTGCAACATTGTTGGGCACTATACTGTATATCTACATTGAATACAAGCCATCGTCGGATATGATCAATATGCCTATCTGGTATTTTCGCATTGAACCATTAACCAATACCAAGGCCTACTTTGCATTAATGATAATGTTAGCTGGCTTTCAGTAAGGAAATATAAACGCAAAAATGGCATTAGGCCTACACATTTGACAAGTCCAAATCATGCCTTATGTCCTTCTGAAAACACGATGCCCATATGATTAGGGCAATCCAATGGACATCTATTCGTCCACTCTTGTCCTTCTCGTGCTTCTGCGCAAAGCATTCAAGTGAACTATCCGCGGCTGTTAAAATGTCCAGATTTTTTGGTTTCTTGGGCAGCTCAGGTCCCTAGAGAAAGAGTCTGGATTGCAAAGTGAGGACAAATCGATATTCACGTGGGGGTTTCCAGTCGCCAAAATAGCCCTGGAGATCTAGATAATAGACTTCATCATAGGCCTATCATTTGCCTTTGGTAATTGATGGGAAATGTGTCTTCCATGGAGATCTTGGCAGATAAGCCCCATGGAGAGTTGTATTTTACCTAATGGCAACAGAGCAGAAATCTGCATACGAAGGCATTTCTGAAGAGTTGGATGATATCTAATGAAACCTACCGCATAAGTTTCCATAAATCACGTGTTCAATTTAGCTTGGTTGATTCTAAAGAAGATTTCTCGCAGTTGTTTGATGGAATAAGGCATCTGGACTTATTTTACTCTGCCTCCCCCCAGGTCCACTCTTCAGTACTGCAGTTGTATGGGAATGAGAATAATTGCACCAAATTTACAATTGTATACATTGCCTTCATTTCTTCATTTTATTGAAGATAATTAGTGCTTTGAAGGCTTTCAGAACTTTGCAGGTTTTCAAGGAGGGCTTGTTGGTCTTGGTTGTTTTAAGGGGCTTGGGGGTGGTCTTGGTCAGGAACACAGATTCATCTATTTTCAGCTTCTCTGAGGTTAGTTGAACAATCCTAGAAAGAAAATCACAGTACTTAGAGAGGACTGCCCAAAATGTCCAGAAAAGAGTAGATCTTGACTAATGTCACGTTCACGTGCTATAGGAGTTATCGGAAATTCTGAGTTCCGACTAGGAAGTTTCACTTGAACGAACCTCCAAGTCGGAATTAGAATGGGAAACTGAGAAAAGTTTGTTGCCGAGTTGTGACGTTTCACCACTGACCTTTTTAAACCAAAAGATGACAAATCCAGTTTTTTGACATCTACAACCTTATCAATATGAATAATTAGGCTACATTTGCCATTTGATAATGTAGCTAGTTTGGCCATATTGTCAATGTTAAGCAAGCTAGCTAACGTAATTATTAGCAACGTCAGCTAGTTTATCAAGCTAGCTAAAATCATATTGGTTGGATAATTATTCAGACTGTTGGACTCACCCCTGGCGGAGTAGCGCTACCTCATTCTTCTCCATGGCCAGAGCATGCTCGGCAGCAGAGGCTTTAATCTAAAGACAAGAGATGTCAGGTCCATAAGTATTTGGACAGTGACACAATTTGCATCATTTGGGCTCTGTACGCCACCACAATGGATTTGAAAGGAAACAATCAAGATGTGCAATCAAGTGTAGACTTTCATCTTTCATTTAAGGGTTTTGTCAAAATTATTGTATGAACCGTGTAGGAATTACAACCATTTTTATACATAGCCCCCCAATTTTAGGGGCTCAAAAGTAATTGGACAAACTAACATAATTATAAATTAAATTGTGAGTTTTAATACTTGGTTGCAAATCCTTTGCAGTCAATGACTGCAAATCCTTTGCAGTCAATGACTGCCTGAAGTCTGGAACCCATAGACATCACCAGATGCTGGGTTTCTTCCCTGGTGATGCTATGCCAGGCCTTTACTGCAGCTGTCTTCAGTTCCTGCTTGTTCTTGGGGCGTTTTGCCTTCAGTTTTGCTTTCAGCAAGTGAAATGCATGCTCAACTCGATTCAGGTCAGGTGATTGACTTGGCCATTGCAGAACATTCCACTTCTTTGCCTTAAAAAAGTATTGGGTTGCTTTCGCAATATGCTTCGGGTCATTGTCCATCTGCACTGTGAAGCGCCGTCCAATGAGTTTTGAAGCATTTAGCTGAATCTGAGCAGACAATATAGCCCTAAACACTTTAGAATTCATCCTGCTGCTTTTGTCAGCAGTCAAATCATCAATAAATACAAGGGAACCAGTTCCATTGGCAGCCATACATGCCCACGCAATAACACTCCCTCCATCATACTTCACAGATGAGGTGGTATGCTTCGGATCATGAGCAGTTCCTTCCCTTCTCCATACTCTTCTCTTCCCATCATTCTGGTTCAAGTTGATCTTTGTCTCATCTGTCCATAGGATGTTGTTCCAGAACTGTAAAGGCTTTTTTATAAATTTTTTAGCAAACTCTAATCTGGTCTTCCTGTTTTTGAGGCTTACCAATGGTTTATATCTTGTAGTAAACCCTCTGTATTTACTCTGGTGAAGTCTTCTCTTGATTGTTGACTTTGACACAGATACACCTACCTCCTGGAGGGTGTTCTTGATCTGGCCAACTGTTGTGAAGGGGTTTTTCTTCACCAGGGAAATAATGATTCTGTCATCCACCACAGCTGTTTTCTGTGGTCTTCCGGGCCTTTTGGTGTTCCTGAGCTCACCAGTGCGTTCTTTCTTTTTAAGAATGTACCAAATAGTTGATTTGGCCACCTAATGTTTTTGTTATCAGCCTAATGATGGCTTGCTTCACTGGAAGTGACAGCTCTTTGGACTTCATATCAAGGGTTAACAGCAACAGATTCCAAATGCAAATGCCACACTTAAAATCAACTCTAGACCTTTTATCTGCTTCCTTGTAAATGAACTAATGAGGGAATAACACACACCTGGCCATGGAACAGCTGAGCACCCAATTGTCCAATTACTTTTGGTCCCTTAAAAAGGGGGGGGGACCACATATAAAAAGTGCTGTAATTCCTACACAGTTCACCCGATTTGGATGTAAATACCCTCAAATTAAAGGCTGAAAGTCTGCACTTTCAGCTCATATTCAATATTGAATTTCAACTCCAATATGCTGTGGTAGACAGCTAAAATAATAACAACTTGGTCAATGTCCAAATATTTATGGACCTGACTGTATGTTAGTGTACAGCAAGACACCTTACAGTAACTAGCAAAACAAAGATAATAACACCTTAGTGCAACTAGCTAACTTTAAAGTGAATGTTCTTCTTACAGATATGGTCTGGATTTTGTCTTGTAGCGTGTCAATCTGAGGAGAAAACAGAAATTGCATTAGAAACGTGTGCAAAGACATCCTATCACATAAATATGACCCAATACGAGTGTTGATACTGGGGCTTATGGTTTAGTCGAAGTACTTGGTAGTTTAGCTTACTATTGAGCGGTTATGGATCAGAATTTGGCAGGCTGTCTTACTTAGGCTTACTTACATGTTGATTTTCCGCATGTTTGCCTTGAATCAGGGCTTTGGTCCTGTGAAAACACAAAAACCAATGTACATGTCATGTGAATGAGAACAAATCCTAATATGATCAAACTAATATCATATCCACTTACAGCTTGTTTAGCATCTGTCTATATTTCTTCTCAGTGATATGGAGCTTTTGATGTAGAGAGGCATTGTTCTCTTCAAGCTGCCAATTTTTGTCTGTTGCAAAGTAAACAGACATCATAAAGTAAAGAAAATATCAATACAGAATAAAGTGATTCTGGCTGGTGGGACATAGAGTGCATTCGGAAAGTATTCAGACCCCTTAACTTTTTCCACATTTTGTTACGTTACAGCCTTATTCTAAAATGGATTAAATTGTTTTTTCCCCTCATCAATCTACACACAATACCCCATAATGACAAAGCAAAAACAGGTTTTTAGAGTTTTTTGCAAATATATAAAAATAAAAAACTGAAATATCACATTTACATAAGTATTCAGACCCTTCACTCAGTACTTTGTTGAAGCTTTGTTGAAGCATCTTTGGCAGCGATTACAGCCTTGAGTCTTCTTGGGTATGACGCTACAAGCTTGGCACACCTGTATTTGGGGAGTTTCTCCCATTCTTCTCTGCAGATCCTCTCAAACTCTGTCAGGATGGATGGGGAGCGTCGCTGCGTCTGGCAAGGACATTCAGAGACTTGTCCTGAAGCCATTCCTGCATTGTCTTGGCTGTGTGCTTAGGGTTGTTGTCCTGTTGGCAAGGTGACCCTTCGCCCCAGTCTGAGGTCCTGAGCGCTTTGGAGTAGGTTTTCATCAAGGATCTCTCTGTACTTTGCTCCGTTCATCTTTCCCTCTATCCTGACTAGTCTCCCAGTCCCTGCCGCTGAAAAACATCTCCACAGCATCATGCTGCCACCACCATGCTTCACCGTAGGGATGGTGCCTGGTTTCCTCCAGACGTGACGCTTGGCATTCAGGCCAAAGAGTTCAATCTTGGTTTCATCAGACCAGATAATCTTGTTTCTCATGGTCAGAGTCCTTTAGGTGCCTTTTGGCAATCTCCAAGCGGCTGTCATGTGCCTTTTAATGAGGAGTGGCTTCCGTCTGGCCATTCTACCATAAAGGCCTGATTGGTGGAGTTCTGCAGAGATGATAGTCCTTCAGGAAGGTTCTCCCATCTCCACATAGGAACTCTGGAGCTCAGTCAGAGTGACCATCGGGTTCTTGGTCACCTCCCTGACCAAGGCCCTTCTCCCGATTGCTCTAGGAAGAGTCTTGGGTTCTTCCATTTAAGAATGATGGAGGCCACTGTGTTCTTGGGGACCTTAAATGCTGCAGAAATTTTTTGGTACCCTTCCCCACACAATCCTGTCTTTGAGCCCTACAGACATGGCTGCATGGCTTGGTTTTTGCTCTGACATGCACTGTCAACTGTGGGACCTTATATAGACAGGTGTGTGCCTTTCCAAATCATGTCCAATCAATTGAATTTACCACAGGTGGATTCCAATCAAGTTGTAGAAACATCTCAAGGATGATCAATGGAAACAGGATGCACCTGAGCTCAATTTCAAGTCTTATAGCAAAGGGTCTGAATACTTATGTAAATAAGGTATTTCCATTTATTTATTTAATTTTTTTGCAAACATTTCTAAAAACCTGTTTTCTCTTCGTCATTATGGGGTATTGTGTGTAGATTGATGAGGATTTGTATTTATTTAATCCATTTTAGAATAAGGCTGTAACGTAACAAAATGTGGAAAAGGTTAAGGGGTCTGAATACTTTCCAATTGTACTGTATGTTGTGTGTTTTGTAACATAGCCTACCCTGAAGACCCCTGTTCACCTCCTCCAGTGTGGTTTTGATCTGTAGAAAATTATGCATTTTTAAGTGCAAGAGCCAGCAAACAACTGATCCATTGTAAAATATTCTAGTATTCCCAATTTGGGGGGGGGGGGAACTGAAAAGCAGGTCCTTTCTGTAATCAACAACTATTCTTTACATTGACATTTTAGTCATTTAGCAGACGCTCTTATCCAGAGCGACTTACAGTTAGTGAGTGCATACATTCTTTTTTTTTTTTTTTCATAATGGCCCCCCGTGGGAATCGAACCCACAACCCTGGCGTTGCAAACGCCATGCTCTACCAACTGAGCTACATCCCTGCCAGCCATTCCCTCCCCTACCCTGGACGACGCTGGGCCAATTGTGCGCCGCTCCATGGGTTTTCATCTACTTATTTCAATAACTTATAGCTTACACTGACTATACATCAACTTACTAGGGCCGCATCCCTCATCTCAGTGACCTTGATCTCACTCTTTTCGTCAATCTTGATATCTGTAACAAAGGTGATTATTTGATCAACATATCAATGCAGCAATTAGTTGTGGATAACCCTGCATGCTTCTACCCTCGAACAATCCTGACAAGTAAGCTTAGTAGGTTGATAAACAGTTTGCAATATTTTTATAAGTTGATCAAACTGTGTGGTTGACTCACTGGTAGATTGGGTGTTGGTGGCATAGGGGATCCTGGCATCCCCACCGTGATGCTCTTTCAGTGGTTCCATCGGTCGCACCTGTCGGGAGCCATAATATTAACCCCATTAAGATACCTCTTTATCATCATACCGAAAGAGTGAGTTTGATTGAGCAGTAATGGACTTACAACAGCTTTCAGTTTCTGTATACGTTCATCACGCTCCTGGAGTCGTAGATGAAATGCCTCAATTTCTGCAGGTCTGATGTCCCAACTGTTTCTTCATATCCTTGGGATAAAAAGAGATAGATGGGCTCAATGTTAACTGTGTGATAAACATCTGACCATGACAATGAAACAAATTGTTAAATGGACTATACTTTGACCGTATGTTAATGGTTAAATACTTTTTCTAATGTTTTTTGTCTTTGCACCTATATACATTTCCAGTAACTAAACATTAGTAAATGTCAGTCTATTAAACATAATGCCACATTGGTCATACACTGTAGAGGGCAGAGAAACGGGTTAAAGGGGGTTTAGGTATAAGAGCTCTCTGACTGCTTACCTCCAGCTCCTGACTCTCCTCCTGAGAGGACTGCAGGTATGCCCGCAACCTTTGCACCCGCGCGTCATAGTCCTTCAACTAAAGCCAACCAGATTTAGAACATAAGTTACAATGATCATGGAAAATGTTACTGCAGGTATGCCTCCGACCTTTGCACCCGTGAGACATAGTCCTTCAACTAAAACCAACCAGATTTAGGACATAAGTTACAATGATCATGAAAAAGTATATGTTATTCAAGTCCAGAATGTCCCAGGTCTGACTTGAATAGCTTCTGAAACATACCAGTATCTCCATTTCAGACAATTTAATCATTGTGTCACATTTCTTTTTTGATAGCCGGGCGATTTTCACGTTTAGCTGTGTCTCAGTCACTAGAGATACAGAGGGGAATATGAAATTAGTCTTGGTTAAGGCATGACTAAGGAGCAAAATCTACTGTATAAAATATAAGTACAAAAGCTTGCTTCTCCTTATCTGAGCTACTTAAAGAAAGGTAGGAAAACTCACATTGATATATCCTGCTTTTGATCTATAAGAAGGCAATGAGAACAATGTTCAAACATGGACTACATAATACATAACTAGAAGATCAATCAAACTGCAAAATGAGCCTTTTCCTCAATTCCTTTAATTTCCATATGAAGTTAAAGTTTGTGAAAATTGTTATAACATGGTAATAATACAAAAGGTTTACCGCAAGGATGGTCCTCCATAGGAATATCACACAAAACAAAATCAGAGCTGCAGGGAGAGTGAGCTCCCATCCCACTCCAGGATGGGTTGCTCCAAACCATTCCTCTGCTAGAGAGGAGAGAAACTGGACAAACAAAGAAATGTCATATTACCATTCATTATGGAATTCACATCAGATTGGATGGACTGTCAGCGAGGTAGAAAGGTAGCCTACCATATAGGATCTCTGTGGGTAGTATTTACCGGTGGAGTAAAAGTACTTTAAAGTACTACTTGAGTAGTTTTTTGGGGTATCTGTACTTTACTTTACTATTTATAGTTTTGATTACTTTTACTTTTACTTCACTCCATTCCTAAAGAAAATAATGTACTTTTTACTCCATACATTTTCCCTGACACTCAAAAGTACTTGTTACATTTTGAATGCTTAGCAGGACAGGAAAATTGTCCAATTCACACACACTTATCAAGAGAACAGCCCTGGTCATCCCCACTGCCTCTGATGGCAGACTCATTAAACACACACGCTTTGTTTGTAAATTATGTCTGAGTGTTATAGTGTGCCCCTGGCTATCCGTAAATGTAAAAATAAATAAAAAATTGCCATCTGGTTTGCTTAATATAAGGATTTTGAAATGATTTATAGGCTACTTTTACTTTTGATATATTTTAGCAATTACATTTACTTTGATACTTAAGTATATTTAAAACCAAATACTTTTTTACTTTTATTTTAGTATTTTACTGGGTGACTTTCACTTTTACTTGATTTCTATCAAGGTATCTTAACTTTTATGTATGACAATTGGGTACTTTTTCCACCACTGCTAGTTAGCTACAATCTTTCAACTAAAGCCATTTCACATTTGCTCCATAGACTCCATAGACTACACCCTCCAACTTCTACCACTAATAGCCTACTTCAAGACAAGCAAGCACACATTAAGTCGCTCTGGATAAGAGCGTCTGCTAAATGACGTAAATGTAAATGTAAATGTATTATTTTCAGGAAATGTCCTTGTCTAGTTTTGAATTTAGGCCTACATCCTTTAGTCCTCCAAGAAAAAGCGTGAAGAAAAAGGTCACTCCTTGGTCGGGCATCGTCATGGCGGGCAAAGGAGCACCAAACTCCGGTAGACCTACTTCTTCATTGACATCCATAACGATGACTGAACCAAAATACACAAGACTCTATTTTTACCTGCATGCTATGTAACGTCATAATAGAGCCATTATCAAGCCGCGCCCCTTAGTTACTGTTGCGAGGTCGGACACTTTTCTCCCGCAAAGCCCATTTCCCCTTTGAAATGGATGGTTGGCCTACTGGTCAAAATGATCTCAAACTGTGTCGACTCAGATGATGAAATTAAACCCATTGTCAAAGAATGTTGGGCTCTTGATTGACAAGCTGACGCACCAACTATTGTATCATAGGCCTAATTATCACAATTCTATAGCCAGCAGCTGAAGGTTCTGATGACAAAAATAACAAATAAAGGCAGAGCTTAGGTCCAAAAACACTTTCTTATTTAGTAATTTACTCCTATTAAAAACCATAAGAGAAACATTACACTGGCCTAATTTAAAAAACATGAGGGAATAGGCCTACAGAATATAAAGTATTTTGGTTTAGCTCTTCAACAGTTGATCTTAGCCAGTAGCCTTATCCCCCGCCCCCTAAATTAATTTAGTTAAGGTAGTTAGTTTTAATTTGGAATCACTCAATTAATTTTTAAAATACATTTATTTATTTTTTAAGAAATTGTCATCTCCTATATACAACCCTCCCATAAAAATGAATGACAGGTAGGCCTAAATACGTTTATTCTTAACCGCATACACAATTATTTCCAACAAACAACGCAGTAACATAGGCCTACAAGCGCTCAACATAAAATCTTGAATAGTATGAACACACAACATCAGATACGATTAAAATATATAGGCCTAACAAGCTGTTAGGGACCAGACACCAGAGCATCTGTATTTAAACGTGCGCTCTTTAGTAGGCTATTAACTTTTTTATGTTAAACCCAATGGATGCCTATATGGATTTAAGTTAACTTACTATCGGCCTACTGTTTGACGAAGCAGACTCAAGAGAGGCTCAGTCGCTACGAAGGCACATTGTTTAATTCCACTTATATTGTTTGGACGCGTTCTAATTTCCCTATAGGCTATATATTTAGTCATTCGTTTCCCCAAAGTAGGCTATACATTTTGTTTTAATTTAAAATGTTGCCAGTATCATGAGTATTTACCCTGCGCAAGTCTAATGTGTTGAGGAAATGTTATTCTCGTTCTTCTCGTATTTGAGTGAAACATTTAAATTAATTAATTTACCCGTTTGCAATCCTCCAAGATAAGTTGATGCGATGTTCACCTGCACGAACACCCGCAACACTCAAGAGAAAGAGGATTTGATTTATTTTCATAAGTTAGTCTATAGGCCTAAATTTCCCTTTGTTTGTAGGCTAATTCGTGCGTCTCGAGCTCCATGTCTTTTGTCATTGTCAATATCAAGTAGGCAGTAGGCAGTAGGCAGTTATGCGAATGTGCTTTGATATTGGAGTCTAGGCTTACTACATGAATCAGACCTGTTATTTTACTACATCTAACTGTTTCAGGTTCTGCTCAGCTTAAATTATACATTTAATAATTCGTCTATAACATGTAACTATCATAAAAACACTTTTAGATACCTTAATTAGCATTCCTTCTCTGTTTCCATCTATAGTTCACCTTTCTGACATCAATGTTACTGCACAGTGTTGACCACAAGATGGAGACAGTGTAAAGGAAATGGACATATCAAAATGGAAATGGATTCTCAAACATACAGGAAGGTTACTACGACAGGTTGCTGTAACTCATTTCAGTATGTGAAGTACAGCGACCTGTTTGCACCTATCAGTAATGAATAGACTTGTGTGTCCTTTACAGGTATGCATTTAGCACCATAATGGACAGTGTAACTATACAGCTACGCTAGAGTGTTTCATTCCATGATTTGTATTAGAGAAAGAGTTTCAGTAAAATAAAGAAGACAGAGAGATATACTGTTCTAAAATGAACCTTGCTGCTATCAGCTGTTGTTCACGCATGTCTGTGCACACACACACACACACACGCTTACACACACACACACACACACACGCTCATACACACACGCTCATACACACACATACACTCTCTCTCTAATACACCAGATGTGTTATTGGGAGGTATCACAGGAACATGTGCAGTCTGACAGGCCGTCTAGTCTCACCCCAGCGTTGAGGACAGAGCCAGGCCAGCAGCTAGCCGCCAGGGGAGGAGGAAGAGGGAGAGGAGGAGGAAGGAGGAGGGGAGGCTGGGGCCCGAGGGAGCCCAGGCAGGATCACATATCTCTGGGCTAATTTCTCACATGGTGGAGGAGCCTTCCATCTCATTTCCTCCTCCAAGCCCAACATCCTCCCAGGAAAATAATTTACAAGGTAACAAAACAGGATTGTGTGTCTGACCGAGAGCAATGTTGTCCTCCCACCCGGTCCGGAGAGTGAGAATGAGAGGGAGAGAAGGAGAGAGGGGAGAGATGGTGTGCAGCACTGCCAGAGAAAGACAAGCTGACGGTGGATATACGACCCTAGAGAGAGGGAGAGGGGGAGCGAGACAAAGGTGAGAAGGGAGAGTGAGACAGAGAGGAATATGGAAATAGGGCTACATAGAGATTGAGAGGGAGAGAAGGAGAGAGAGAGAGAGAGAGACAGATTGTGTAGTCTATTGTCTCACACCTGAGGCCTAAGATGGAGGTAGGAGTGTGTCAGAGTTGAGCAGCACTCCTACACAGACTGTCGGGGGTCTCTCACCTGTCTCTCATCTGCACATCCTATCAGTAGACAGAGCACCAGTTGTACTAAACATTTGTACCTAGTCCTGCAAAATGACAAATTAAGGTTATGAGAAGGTAAAAGATAAGGATGGATTTAGATTTTAGATTTCCATTCAGTGTTTCTCATGAGAAAAAAAGGTTAAAAGTTGAGAAAGTCAGGCCCCTTAATTTTTATTTCTCTAAGGATCCTGTTGGATTTCTCTAAGCTGTGTCCCAAATGGCACCCTATCCCCTATATAGTGCACTACTTTTGACCAGGGAGCATAGGGCTCTGGTCAAAAGTAGTCTACTATATATGGAATTAATAGGGTGCCATTAGAGACATAACCTACTTCTCCTGGACAGGTATTGTCACCTGCAGTTTCATCAACAGCCCATGTGAAAGAGGGGAGGTTAAATAAAATGCCAAGGTTTAAGACTTCCACGTTTCTCTCAATACTGAGTTCAACATTTCAGAATCCTCCAATGTCCCTAAAACAGCACAGACAGGGTGTGAACCATCTATAGACCTGCCTTTCCACTTAGGAATGGGACGGGGATGAATGAGAGCGAGTGTGGCAACACAGGAGAGGTGTGTGGTTATGTGATTCCATACTCTGAATAAATATAGAAGAGACAGTTAGCTATTTAAATAATAAAGTGTGTGTTCAAGTAAAAGACGACAACAAAAGATTGGGACACTTTGCTGTATTGACCTAAATGACATTGTCAGGATTTGAGGAATTGCAGCCAGCAATATGAGCACTTTTAACAGTTCATAGTGCATTTTTAAATTAATAACAACCCTCTTTTTCTAATAACTATGAATATGCTATAGGTCTATTGTTTTACTTGCTCACCCAGTTTGAGTCCATGGCAGTCTGTGTGTGTTAGAATGGAATGGAATGAATTGTAAATCATTGTCTTACTGTAATGTAATAAAAACACAGCCCACACCCTAGTGCTGCGCTATGCATTAAACTGAGGCCGTCAACTGACAGATACTTCAGTATTCCTCTGTGTCCGTGGAACTCATTGAGGGACTAAATTAATCTGAACACACACAGGTGAAGAGGTATTTCAAGGCTAAGCAGAAAATCGTCCTGGCCAGGGGACAGCTGAATTGTGTGTGTGTGTGTGTGTGTGTGTGTGTGTGTGTGTTTGTGTGTGTGAGCCAGAGATGGAGGAATGTGCACTGGGATAGCAGCATGGAACACACAGGAGAGGAACCAAAGTGTGGGTTATGACAGTACGGTTAAGAAAACACACACACA